CTCCTCCTCCTCGCTGTTCTGGCTATGTTTGGTGCAGAGGCGCTTCCTGCTTCCCTGGTTCTTCTCTCTTTGATGGGAGCAGAGGAGGAGGGCTGTGGGGGTGCTGGGCTCTCCAGGGTGGCACTTCCCAGAGATTTTTGTCTATGGCACTGGGTGCTGTGCCTCTGCATCGTGCCCATCTCTAGATAACCAGGGAATTGGTTGACCTTTTGTTGTTCCAGATCTTTGACTGTCCACGGCTCAAGTTCTCAGAAATCCCGCAGAGGCTCACCAACCTGCTCTTGCCACCCGACCCCATAGTCATCAATCACATCATCAGGTCAGACAGAACCACCTCCCTGCCCTCTTCTGCCCCAAGTGCTGGGAATGTCCTTAGCAAACGCTGCCCTTCAGGCTGATGTGCCCAGACTGTGAAGTTCCCATCGGCTCCAATAGGCAAGCCAAGGTCTTCCCGGAGACCCTCGGAGAGCAGCCGTGCAGCATCACAGCCCACGTGATCTGGCCTAGATGAGCTGAGCAGTACTCGCTAGGATCCCCTTCCCAGTGATGGTGGGATAGGGGGCCTTCCTTTCTCTGTCTCTTCAGAGTATTAAGCCCTTCAGGACTATTGCCAGCCCAGACTTTGAGCATGACCCCGTTCTTCCCTGCCTGGTGGGCAGCAGAACTTGAAGGCCCTTCCTGGACACGGGAGTTGGAGGAGGAGGAAGAAATTAAAATTAAAAATAAAATAAACAAAGTAAAAAATAACAATAAAAAAAGACAAAACCGTGATGTCACCATAAAGATTATCTCATGAAGTGAGCTTGTCCACAAAAACTCACATTAAAATATATAAATGTTAGTCTTTAAGCTGCCACCACATTTTTGTCTTTTTTTACTTTTTATTTCTATTGTCTTCACCTATAATGCTTGCACAGACTAAGATGGCTACCATTTCTATGGTAGCAATCAAGAAGAAGAAAGGACTGCAGGAGCCATGCAAAAGGCGCCTCCCCTTCTTGCATGTCATGCTGTTGGTCAATGCAGGGTGGAGGGTCAGTCTTAGGGTTAGAGTTAAGCATATCAGTCTTCTGGATCTTTTAACTTTACCTTATTAGATTATCTGATCCTCTGGCTAGGGGGCTGGGAGGCACTTTTTACAATCTCCCTTACAAGCCAACCTAAAGGCAGACGTACATGGCAAATCACAGAAGCCTATCCTTGTTTATCACAGAATAATTGAGTTGGAAAGGGGCCTATAAGGCCATCAAGTCCAATCCCCTGTTTATTTCAGGAATCCAAATTAAAGCAGATATGACAGATGGTTATCCAATTTTCTCTGGAATAGCTGATAAAGGTTTCTTAAGTTCATCATTGCTGACAATAGCAATGAGTAAAGGGTTAATACTAGAATGAACTCAGACAATCACAGACAAGCATTTCAAGATTCATCTAGGTATCTTAAATATAAGTATTTTCTTTGTTGCAATCATTCTAGTAACACCAAGCTTCTTGGGTTTTTCCCCACAGGTTTTATTGTCTATATAGCTTCTATATTTTATAATTCAAAAACAGCAAATCCATAATATATTGAAACAATCATACAGTTGTGAGAACAGAACTGTGGGCATTAAATACTGAAAATCCATTCTTGCAACTTATGACAAGTCTCAAGTGTTAAAAACCTAAGTTGTAGTTTTGCTCAAATCCAGCATCCAAAACACAATAAAATATCAGAAAGAATGTTTTAAGTTATCATATTTTTCTGTGTATACAAACTGACAGGGTGCTTTGCAGAATAATGGGCACTCACACAGAGATTAAGCCTCTTCAGGGTGTCAGCAAACAAACCAAACCATATTGAGTGTAGTAAAGTAAATATATTGAATCAATGTTGCAGCAGCATTAATACATACAGATTAGTTCTTTTCATCAGTCCTTGGTCATTCACGTAACAGCAATCAATTTCTTCCCAAGAGCCTTCCATAAAGCCAATCTGGATGATGGATTGGAGCCTGCATTGCTGGACCTGCATGCCAAGGCCGAGAGGAGGAGGAGGAGGTTTCTGGGAACGTCTGGAGGAAGACCAGCTTCTGCCTAGATGGAGCTAGAACTAGGCCATAGGATTGTGCGGCTCAAGTTCCTTGCCTCTCTCAGCCCTGGACTATGCCCGGTCATAGGCTTTGGCACTTCCCGTCCGTCCGCCCAACCCTCTCTCTCAATGTAGCAGTGCCCAGTGGCCTCAACCCCTTGCTTGGAGACCTTTTCGGTCTGTCTCCTTAGAAAGTGTTAAGAGCTTCGGCAGCAGATGGAGAGGTGAAGAAGACTGGAAGGTTGGGTGGGCTAGCTCCTGGCAGGCATGGCGGGCAGCACCCATCTTGGAGCCTGGCAGAATCAGTGGGGCTGTTGCAGTGGAGCCTTTGATGTGCTGGCAGGAGGGGGGCAAGAACCAAAACTGCCTGGGTTCCACATTGGAAAGAATTAAGGAGCCAGACCTCAGTGTTCAAGCTTTGTCCCAGGGTGGAGGTGGGGGTCCTTCTTTGGGAGCCAGAAAGATTGTCTCACGAAGACCGTGATTTCTGTCCGTGTCCTTGTGCCCGTGGGCATCCCTGCCAGCCCTGAGCCGGTCTCTCTGCTCCTCTTTAACAGTGGCACAGGACCCCTACCACCCAAGAGACTGATGGCTTCCAGGTGAAGAGACCGGGGGATGTCAGTGTACGCTGCACTCTTCTGCTCATGCTGGATTACCAGGTCAAGATGCTGGTCTGTGGGTGGCCTATGTTCTGCTCAACCACATTGGCCTTCACAGCCAATGTGAGCCCCTCCCCTCAGCTGCCCCCTCCCTGCCTGCCACGAGTGGTGCCCGCCTGAGTCAGGGGCATCCTTGACCTCCTGCTTCGGCAGCCCCTTGGCCTCGAGGGCCCTTAGGGGTTCCTTCTGGCTCGGCCATTCCCTGATTCTCTGATCCAGCAGGACCAGGCTGTAGGTTTGGCAGAATGAGACGCAGGGACACAGCGGGGCCACTAGGTGTGGCAGAGGTCCTGAGCCAGAGAGGCTGGAACAGAGAACTTGTGGCCTTGAGCAACAGGCCGCTGAGGTTCTTCGCGTGACTCACAGAAAACCACAATAACATTTTCTACATTAGTGGTGATTGCTGTTGTCCACTGAGCTGGTCTCCCTCCTGAGTCCTTCAGGCCTTGCTGCCTAACAGATTTTGGGAGCTACAGTTCAAAAATGAAAGTTTCTTGAGTTCTGATGGAAAGGCCTGCTTTTTCCATGGTGGTCCGAGGGTGGCTGCGTGTGGTTTCATGAGCAACAGCTGGGCCCACCTGCAGGAGGGCTGTGGCAAATGAGCCTAGACCTGCAAGCCTGGCCACTTCTTCTTCTTCTGTGGATTGCCACGTATAGATGAGAAGCCTCCCAGCCTGAGGAAGGGATCAGCCCCTTTGGATCTTGGGGCCAGATCATTTGCATGGTGGCATCCAGAGGCTTCATGAGATGCCCCCACGCCCCCTTACCTTTGTGTCTGGGGAGGGGAGCAGTGTCTCTAGTTGGAAAGAGCCGCTGATGCCCCTTCACTAAGGGCAGTGTAGGTGAAAGGGATGGAAAAGGCATGGCGGCCTGTGTTTTCTGACGTGTTCCCCCCATGCCGCCTCTCTTTCCCCCCCCTCTGCTGCTGCAGCCGCCACAATTTAAACTTGACCCCCGCCTGGCCCGCTTGCTGGGCATCCACACACAGACCCGCTCAGCCATTATCCAGGCTCTCTGGCAGTACATCAAGACCAACAAGCTGCAGGACTCCCACGACAAGGAATACATCAACTGTGACAAGTACTTTCAGCAGGTGAGCCCCTCGACCCTTGTGGCGCTCCGGTTGGGGGAGCAGATTCCCTTGGGGGCTCCTTGCTTTGGGGGGCAGCACCCTGGGGTGGTTTGTGCAGGAAAGCAAGATGTCCATGGGAAGGAGGGGGAGGAGGAGGAGGAGGAGAGGGAGGGAGCAGCTGCCTCCTGCTCCCCCTGCCTTCCTTTTCAGCAAGGGGTCCTGGCTTCTATGTCACTGGAGCTCTGGGGAGAGTTCAGACCAAGTGGAGGCCGAGACCCCCAGCAGGCCTGGGCACAATGGGTCGTGGTTCCAAGGAGGAGGAGGGAGGCGGGTCGGACTCCCTTTCCCATGTGCTGGAGCCCCTCTTTCCTCTGGAAGCCCATGACTTCCAGCGGTCTCCAGGTTGCCCGTGGGGAAAGGGCAGCCACCTTAGCCCCATCTCTGAGATGGGCGACCTGCAAATTCCAGAGGGAAGACGCCTCCCGTATGGTCTGCCTTTGAGTTTCACTTCTATGGGAAACGGCAGACCTTTCTTCACTCACCTCTCCTTGATGCCCACCAAGGCCATGTCTTCACTTCGGGTGTCCCTTTTCTGCCTGTTGAGGCAGGCAGGGGATAAGGGTGCTCCCCACTCCTCCTCCTCCTCCTCCTCCTCCTCCTCCTCCTCCTCGCTGTTCTGGCTATGTTTGGTGCAGAGGCGCTTCCTGCTTCCCTGGTTCTTCTCTCTTTGATGGGAGCAGAGGAGGAGGGATGTGGGGGGGCTGGGCTCTCCAGGGTGGCCCTGCCCAGAGATTTTTGTCTATGGCACTGGGTGCTGTGCCTCTGCATCGTGCCCATCTCTAGATAACCAGGGAATTGGTTGACCTTTTGTTGTTCCAGATCTTTGACTGTCCACGGCTCAAGTTCTCAGAAATCCCGCAGAGGCTCACCAACCTGCTCTTGCCACCCGACCCCATAGTCATCAATCACATCATCAGGTCAGACAGAACCACCTCCCTGCCCTCTTCTGCCCCAAGTGCTGGGAGTGTCCTTAGCAAACGCTGCCCTTCAGGCTGATGTGCCCAGACTGTGAAGTTCCCATCGGCTCCAATAGGCAAGCCAAGGTCTTCCCGGAGACCCTCGGAGAGCAGCCGTGCAGCATCACAGCCCACGTGATCTGGCCTAGATGAGCTGAGCAGTACTCGCTAGGATCCCCTTCCCAGTGATGGTGGGATAGGGGGCCTTCCTTTCTCTGTCTCTTCAGAGTATTAAGCCCTTCAGGACTATTGCCAGCCCAGACTTTGAGCATGACCCCGTTCTTCCCTGCCTGGTGGGCAGCAGAACTTGAAGGCCCTTCCTGGACACGGGAGTTGGAGGAGGAGGAAGAAATTAAAATTAAAAATAAAATAAACAAAGTAAAAAATAACAATAAAAAAAGACAAAACCGTGATGTCACCATAAAGATTATCTCATGAAGTGAGCTTGTCCACAAAAACTCACATTAAAATATATAAATGTTAGTCTTTAAGCTGCCACCACATTTTTGTCTTTTTTTACTTTTTATTTCTATTGTCTTCACCTATAATGCTTGCACAGACTAAGATGGCTACCATTTCTATGGTAGCAATCAAGAAGAAGAAAGGACTGCAGGAGCCATGCAAAAGGCGCCTCCCCTTCTTGCATGTCATGCTGTTGGTCAATGCAGGGTGGAGGGTCAGTCTTAGGGTTAGAGTTAAGCATATCAGTCTTCTGGATCTTTTAACTTTACCTTATTAGATTATCTGATCCTCTGGCTAGGGGGCTGGGAGGCACTTTTTACAATCTCCCTTACAAGCCAACCTAAAGGCAGACGTACATGGCAAATCACAGAAGCCTATCCTTGTTTATCACAGAATAATTGAGTTGGAAAGGGGCCTATAAGGCCATCAAGTCCAATCCCCTGTTTATTTCAGGAATCCAAATTAAAGCAGATATGACAGATGGTTATCCAATTTTCTCTGGAATAGCTGATAAAGGTTTCTTAAGTTCATCATTGCTGACAATAGCAATGAGTAAAGGGTTAATACTAGAATGAACTCAGACAATCACAGACAAGCATTTCAAGATTCATCTAGGTATCTTAAATATAAGTATTTTCTTTGTTGCAATCATTCTAGTAACACCAAGCTTCTTGGGTTTTTCCCCACAGGTTTTATTGTCTATATAGCTTCTATATTTTATAATTCAAAAACAGCAAATCCATAATATATTGAAACAATCATACAGTTGTGAGAACAGAACTGTGGGCATTAAATACTGAAAATCCATTCTTGCAACTTATGACAAGTCTCAAGTGTTAAAAACCTAAGTTGTAGTTTTGCTCAAATCCAGCATCCAAAACACAATAAAATATCAGAAAGAATGTTTTAAGTTATCATATTTTTCTGTGTATACAAACTGACAGGGTGCTTTGCAGAATAATGGGCACTCACACAGAGATTAAGCCTCTTCAGGGTGTCAGCAAACAAACCAAACCATATTGAGTGTAGTAAAGTAAATATATTGAATCAATGTTGCAGCAGCATTAATACATACAGATTAGTTCTTTTCATCAGTCCTTGGTCATTCACGTAACAGCAATCAAAATCAGTCCACTTACTATTCAATAATTCAGCATCTGTAGTAAATTCTGCTCTGTAAATAAGTCCAGCAGAATTTCCCCTTCTTCTCTCCATTTGACCCACAAAACAAGTGAGCTGAGGCTGTCAGCTTTATTTCCCCTTGCAGCCAATTGGAGATTAGCTTCTGTAGCCTTCTTCTCCTGCATTTTGTTTCCACGGCTGCTTGAAGTTTAACTGTTAGCTTGTTCCTAGCACAGCTGCAGTCTTTCAACAACTCTTTCTACAGAACGTTATTACTGACTTTCTTACAAACTTGATCAACAATTCTTACAGGTATTTCTAAGACCTGACGCGAACCCCCAGTGTATAAGATGACCCCCTAATTTTGTCCCTTGCCGTAGGAGCAGGCGTGGGGCAGCCTCGAGCCCAGCACAACTGTTCCTTTGTCTCCTGCTGTTGCCTCCTCCAGTGCGACTGCCAGGGCTCGCCTCCAGCTCACGTTGCCACCTTGTCCCTTGCCTGAAGGGAGCCCGCGAGTGAGGCTGGAGGAACTGATCTGGCAGTGGCAGCAATCCATGGGCAGATGCAGGAGACGGCCAAGTGTGGCTGCTCCCTTGCCTCCATCTCCACCTGCTGCTGCCTCTGCCACCAGGTTGCCTCCTCCAGTGCCACTCGCGGGCTCCCTTTGGGCAGGGGACAAGGCGGGGATGTGAGCTGGAGGTGAGCCCCAGCAGTGGCGCTGGAGGAGGGGATTGGACCGTGGCCGCAGCCATCAGTGGGCAGTCGCAAGAGGCTGCTGAGGGGGGCCGCTCCTTTGCCTCCGCCTCCTTCCTTGTATAAAACGACCCTCAATTTTCCTGTAATGATTTTAGGAAAAAGTGTCATTTTATACACTGAAAAATACCGTACATTCTTTAAAATACCGAACCTTATCGTCTATAAAAGTGGAGAATACATCTCTAAATACGTACATCAAAATTCTTAGCAATAAGACTGTAAAAAGCAAAAAGCATTATGTAGCTCTAAGCATATTTAGACACACAGGAAAATATTTCTGAACACATCTCACCCAGCCTAAGTGAAATCCATTGTTTACTCACTGGAACTGATGTTTCTTGCTGCTGCCACTCGCTCTCTGATTCCTCTGATTGTCGTGTGAGAAATCACTTGCTGTTTATATATTCTCTAATGTTTGTTTACTTAACTGTTAAGAAGCAGCTTTCTGTTTTTTCAATGACTTTGTTTGCTTAAGTCACTGGTCGGCCATGTCCATTCTCGGAGCAACTGTGTGCTCCATCGCCACCTGGGGGTCCACGCTGGTCAGGTGACTTTCCTTGGACCTGGTGTGTGACTTTGAAAGGTTTTGGCTCTGCCCTGCAGTGTAGACCCCAACGACCAGAAGAAGACCGCCTGCTATGACATTGACGTTGAAGTGGAAGATCCTTTGAAAGGACAAATGAGCAGTTTTCTTCTCTCCACAGCCAACCAGCAGGAAATCACAGCCCTGGATAACAAGGTGCCGTGGGGTGACAAGTGGGTAGGGGGGGTGGGGTGGGGAGAAGGGCCCTACTGCAGATCTTCGGGGCTGGAGGCACAAGGGTAGGGTGGGCTGGAAGGAGTCTGTGAAACAGGACAGATTTGGTAGCGGGGGGGGGGGGGGCTTAGGCTCCCTGCCATTTTTCAAAAAGGTAGCCATGTTAATCTGTTTCATTGTCTGTAGTGAAAATAAAAACAACTGTTGTGGCACCATCACAACGAACACATTATAATTCAGAAGCCGCCTGTTTCAGGAGGTTAGTTTTATTCCATAGAAGCCCAACTAAAATAAATCTGTAATTCCGCTGTGACTCTTCTCTCTCTCTTTTAGTGATACATTCTGAGAGTTGTCCCTAAGACACTTTCAGTCTGGAAGGCATGGCTAACCACTGCTGAGCCAACGGGAGGTCAACATTGGGCACCACAACACAACACAGCAGAGGCGCCGTGGGGAGAAACAGGGAAGCCAGAATTTCCCTTTCTTCTCCCTTCGCATTGCAGAAGGGTCGTCCACAGAGGCTGGTTTCTGAAAAGAACTTCCTGCCAGGTGGATTCCTTGCTGTTCGATGAAGTCAGGCGTGGATGGGTTTAAAGGGAGATCAGCCAGATTCATCACAGTGGCTGCTAGGCTTGATGGGGAAGGACTCCCTCCACACTCAGATGCAACTGCAGGCTTGCCCCTGATAAAATAGGGCACTGGCCTGACCTGGCACAGCTTCGTCATTCTCTTGCCCCTGTTCTACAGAAATCAGATGGAAAACAGAAGGTGGGCTGCCTTCCGAGGCCCGTGGCTGAACAGTAGGGCTTCCTTGGAACTCAACTGTCAAGAGCGGTTGCCCTTTTCTGCATGCAGGAGCTTCCCTTTTTTGGAGAATAGGTCATTCTGATGGAGAGCAAGATTGGGTGGAATAATCATTGGCGTTGGTGGCCAGTGGCTCAGGTGCCCTTGGAAGGGACACAAAGGAGGACAGGACTGTCGGTCAGTGGTCTGTTGCCGGATAACCATGGCAGGCAGTCCTGGTTGCACTTGCCCTGGTGGGTGACTCTCTGCCACCCCCACCCTTCCATTTCCTCCCTTTAGTGCCCAGCCTGGGGCCTCCCTGTGACAACCTAGCAGGGTCTGGCAGTCCGCTCTTTGCCATGATGTGTTTCTTGG